AGCCATGATGGCATTTTCTTTGTGTTTAGGTTTTAGGGAAATTATTTCAGAACCTCTGTTGAATAAAGTGGTTTAATATAGAAGATTAGAGATGGTACCAAAAACTTAAAGTACGTGGTTCTGCTTTAAAAATACGGATCTTGGCTGGGCTCGGTGCCTCAGCCTGTAATCCCAGCACTTTGGGAGGCCGAGATGAGTGGATTGCCTGAGCCCGCCGGGTTCGAGATCCGGCCAGGCCACTTGGTGAGACCTCGTCTCTACAATAAATAAAAAATTAGCCAGGCCTGGTAGTGCGTGCCTGTAGTTCTAGCTACTTGGAAGGCTGAGGCGGAAGGATCGCTGGATCCCAGCAGGTCTAGGCTGCAGTGGCCGGGAGCGTGTCACTGCACTGCAATCTGGGCGACTGTGTGTGAGTGAGACTCCAACTCAAACAAAACAAAAATACGGATCTTGAAGTGCTTTTAGATTAGTGGCTTTATGATGCAGAAGGAACTTTTAAGCCCACTCTTAAAAGTCTGCTACTTTTTTTAAAGTGACAGTTATCCTTATAGCTGTAGATAAGAAAATGTAAGATTATATCCATTTCAGAAACCTTTAGTATTATCACTTACGTTTTAAAAATTTCTTGTTTAACTGTAAATTTTAAAATTTATTGTTTAGGCATGAGTGTTGATGGGGAATGTTAGTAGTAAAATCTTGTATTACAAGATTTTTGCATTTACTTGAACTTTCACTCATTTTTCAGAATCTGTTCCTAGAGACAGAGAACCCAATACAAAAATGAGAACATGTATGCGTAATCAGAAGGATGCAGTGCAAATGCCTAGTGAAACTCTGAAAGCAAAAATGGTACCTGAGAAAGCTCCCCGCAGATGTGCTACTGTTGCTGCAAATAGAATAAAGATAATGAGTAATCTAAAAGAAACGATTTCAGGACCAGAAAATGTCTGGATTAGGAAGAGTAGCAGGAAACTGCCCCATCGAAACGCTTCTGCTGCGGCTAAGAAAAAGTTACTGAATGTTTATAAAGAGGATGATACAACCATAAATTCTGGAAGTGAAAAAGAGCTAGAAGATATTAATAGCAAAATGGTTTTTTTAAGGCGGTTCAGATCCTGGAAAGAAAAAGCACAATAGTGACTATGAGAATGTAGAAGTGGAATCTGAAAACAATCAGTCCACAAGTAAACTGGCAGTTGCATTCTGCTCCTAGCTCTAAAGTTAGTCCCGTATTGGCATCTTTTGAGGAATTTTCTATTAATAAAAGCCATAATCCAGTGGTTCAGAGTAGGAAGAAGGCTTCCTCCCTGTCAGCCCTTGTAGACATACATGCACTATAGGGAATTCTGAGGAGGAAATAGATTGTGGAGCATGTAGTTGGAGAGGTGGGAAGAAATGGCAAATGGCCTACTATGAAATTATTCCTTTCAGAAAGCAAGGACCTCAAAGAAATCTCTTGATTCTTTAGGGGAAGAAAATAATGAGAAGTGTACAGAGTATGTAGGAAGAATTTCAAGGACAAAACATTAAAGATGTCATCCTGATGCTAATGTAAGGTTCTCCATTTGAGTGTAAACATTCAGAGCACCGTGGCCATGGTATCAATACTGAAATCAGGAAAAAAAAAAAGGCACATTTCCAAAAAAAGTGCTAATGAGTCTATTTAACTTTTAAATAAAGCAAGAATGTTACTCAGATCCAGCCTCTTATAATTCACATCCCCCCTAAAGGTCAAACATAACTTATTTTAGAAGGACCAGGGGATTCAATGCCAAATTTGCTGACCATTGAGTTCTGAAGTAGGGTGCTGGAAATAAAGTCCATTCATGTTTTATTTTGTTTATAATATCGGAGTTCATTCTGAATGGTGACTACTTGATATGACTAATTCAGGGAATATGTATTTTTCTATGAAAGCTATGAATGTGACTTATCACAGCTTTTCCTTATGTCTATTTTTACATAGCAACATTTACAGAAATGCCAAAATGTGCCTCTCTAAGAGGCAGGTTTTAGTTTTAATCAGATAATAAAAAGTATAGCTTAAGAACAAAACAGTCATATTTTTAGATGATAAAGTGAAATCCTATCTTATGTTTATTGCACCTTAAAAGTTAGAACTTGAAGACTTTGAGCAAATTTGTTACAGTCTCATCCCAAAAAACTTTCATGGCAGCATTGTGGCCTCTTTCATTGTGGCCTTTGCTAAGATTAGAAAATCTTGTCATGGTACAAACAAGAATTTATTTGCAATGGGGTCTAATTTGTTGTTAATAGGTATTTGTTGAAGTTAAGATTGCCAGAATAAATGAATGCACTGTCAAATCTTTTTAACATAACGTGTTACTGGAAAAAATTGTTAGGAGCAAGTTGTTTTCTCATTTAAAATATCTGTGAATATTAATATATGATTTGCATGTGTAAATCTGGAAAAGTAAAATATAGAAATCTAGGAGTTTCTATTCTTTTTTTATTAAGTCTAATGCATAGTTTTTCATTATACAGATGGACCAAGTGTCTAGATTGCTTGAGAAGTTTGTGGTTGCATGTTTGTTTAAAAAAAGGCTTTTTTTTTTCTTTAAAGCATACGCCAGAAATTCTAACCTACAGGGTCTGTCTGAGTCCTTTGCTCTTTTTGTAGTATACTTTCATCTGAAATACTGATCCCCACTATCTTGTTACTAGTACAGGTGAGAAAGGGAAGAATTCCTAATAAACGGTTACTATTTTAGGTGCATGGATTTTCATTTTTGAGCTCAAATGAAATGATTAAACTGATTTTCAGTCCCAAATTTAAACAATTTACAATATACATTTCTTATTGGGTATAGTATATCCTCAACAAATACCTTAAGATGAAATATTTAAGTCTCAATGAAGACTGTTTTATGCAAAGTTTTTTTTTTTGGCAACAAGTGTAATAAAAGAACTTAAGCTTTGAATTCATAATTTAATTGGTGGGGTTAATTTCTGTCAGTATTTGAGATTATATATCAGTCTTTCATAAAGGAATAACCTTTTCTGGGTTAGAATTTTATTTGACCGGGCATGGCGGCTCATGCCTGTAATCCCAGCACTTTGGGAGGCAGAGGCGAGAGGATTGTCTGAGCCCACGGATTCAAGACCAGCCTGGGCAACTTGGTGAGACCTCGTCACTACAATAAATAAAAAAAATTAGCCGGGCATGGTTGTGCATGCCTGTAGTTCCAGGTACTTAGAGGGCTGAGGCAGAAGGATCACTGAACCCTGCAGGTCCAGGCTGCAGTGGCCGTGAATGTGCCACTGCACTTCAGCCTGGGCAACAGAGTAAGACTCCTACTCAAAAAATAATAGTAATAATAATAAGTTAATTTGAACATATTTGCCTTTTTACAAAGTGGTCTAAATTTATTGTAACTGCATGAGATAAGTATTTGTCTAAAACTTAACATTTGTGTAAAACTGTTCTTTCTGAGATGTATGCAGAATTTAAATCATAGCCAAGTATATTACCGTTGCCCTGTTTACAATAATTTTAGTTAGCTTTGCATAAAATACTACTTCATAATGAAACTTTCATAATGAAATTGTGAAATCAAATTGAAGATCTTACTGGTAAAAATGATAAATTATTTAGCAAAAGGACTAAGACAAAGTCGTGCCCAAACAGCCTTTTTATTCTGCAATTCAGTCATTATATTAGACCAATTAACCCAGGAATCCTAATGTAGTCTTAAGCCACATTGGCAATCTCGTGTGTTCTATCTCTAAGGATATATGCAAAATTTCCTAAATAGCTAGCAGTTGGTTAGCAATTTGGTCTTCATTTGTTTATTCTTAACAATTTGGTCTGCATTTGTTTTTATTCTTAACTGTTCAATTTTGCTTCAAAACGTAAATTTTTTGCAATGGATGTGTAAAATGGCTAAATACTGAGTTTATGTAAATGATTTTGCTGTTTATTCACATCTTAAACAAGATGTTTCTAGCAACTTTGAGATTTTTTAATCTCGAGGGGCTCCCTCTGAACTCAAAGTAATACTTTGTGACTACTGACAAGGTCCCAAAATACAGGCAGTACCACATATTTCAGCACAACTAAATCTAGGAAACTTTATATTATTGTAATACTGTATATTTTCTTTTCCAGTTAAATTATGGGTTAATTGTCCCCTTTTTCTCTTGCTTGGAACAGTGCTCCTTAAACTTTGTCTTCCAGTACATTTAAAAGAGAACCAATTCAAAACTAGAATCACATACTTTGCCAATATAAAAGGCTATTTAAAAAAAAATTTGTATTATGGCCGAGTAAACTTTTTTTTACATTCTCATTAAAATGTTTTTTAGATCAGCTTGACAATCATCAGCTATTGAAATGTGAATTTCTATTGCCAGAGTAAAGGTCTCATTTTTATACTACCACGAAGCATTGTATTTCTTCCTGCCCGTCTGTCGCCCAATGTCCACCGTCCCGAGGGCTCGCCTGGCCCCTCCGCTAGCCGCAGCGGGGCACTCATGCAGGCGTCCGTTCTGGTCCTCAGAAGCGCCCCAGGGCCGCCAGCTACCTGGGCGGTGGAGGTGGGGAGCAGGTGCTTTGTATACCAAAGCTTACCACTGTCACTGCTAGCCAAGAAGGAAAGGCTTGCGGGCTGCACTTTCCCCGGGTCGCCACAGACTGGGAGGAGATGGCTAAGTCCCGGCTTCCCTGGGCTCCGCCCTCCCGCTAGCTTCCTACTCAAATAGCCCTCACCCTCAAATCTCTGGGTCTTTGTGCCGGGCTCAGGCTACAAAAGAAAACATGCTGAGAACCGCGGCTTCGGGTCTGGAGTGGGGTGGGGGGCGTGATAGGTGCGTGTGGCCGGTGCAGCACGCGAAGTGGCGCGCAAGAAGAGCAGGACTCGGGGCTGCGGCCGTGCGTACCAGCCGTGAGGGGGCGTGGCCCGTTTGGGGCGGAGCTTGGGGCGTGGCCGTGCGCAGAGGCGGTGCGTGAGGGGCGTGGCGCGTTACCCCGTGACGCAGGGGGCGTGGTCTCACGCTGGGGAGCGTGCGCCGTCTTGAGGCGTCGCGGTTGTGTGCGGAGCGTCCTGGAGAGGCTATGGCGGCCACGTTCTTCGGAGAGGTGGTGAAGGCGCCGTGCCGAGCCGGCACCGAGGAGGAAGAGGAGGAGGAAGAGGAGGGGAGGAGAGAGACGCCCGAGGACAGGGAGGTTCGGCGGCAGTTGGCGCGGAAGAGGTGAGGCTCCTAGATGCGGGGAGCCGTGGGCGGCGCGCAGGCCTGACGCCGGAGGAGATGCTCGTAGACAACTACAAGGCCCCGACGACGCCCAGGGCCGAGAAGAGAGCGCGGTCTCTGCAGATCAGAGGCCCCCGCTGGCCCTCCCTGGTGGCCACCTGTACGTAACTTTGTCCGCAGACCTCACACGCGTGGCTGGTGCCTGCCGGTTCCGGGCCTCGGTGAATCCTCGGGGAGGCCGGCGGCGCCTACTCTAGGTGTGTGTGGTGTGAGCGGTGGTCGCGTCGACCCGCTGGTGCTTCGGTGGAATCATGAGGTGAAGCCTTTGAGGGCGAGTTGGACTCAGATATGTTCTTTAAAGAAGTTGCCTCCAAGGCTTCTTTAGCGTTTACTTAGGCTTGGATTCGTTCCACTTGTCAGCTTCTCCTGGGCTGCAGTGCTGCACGTTGGTCGTGGGTTTGGTTCTGAGACACACCGGTTCTCTTGAAACTTTATCTTCCATCCCACACTTCAGTTAGCGTTATGTGTCAACTAGCAGATGGATACTCGATTAAAAAAACAACAACAAAACTTCCAGGCCGCATGCAGTGACTCACCCCTATAAATCTCAGCACTTTGAGAGGCCGAGGCAGGAGGATCACTTGAGGCCGGGAGTTCGAGACCAGCTTGGGCAACGTAGTGAGAACTCATTTCTACAAGGTCTAGAAAAGTTAGCCGGGCGCTATAGCGTGCTCCTGTAGTCCCAGATATCGGGATACTGAGGTGGGAGGATCACTAGAGCGACCAGGAGGTCGAGGCTGCAGTGAGTTATGATAGTCGCCATTGCACTCCAGCCTGGGCGACAGAGGGAGACTCCTATTCCAAAATTTTTTTTTCCATACAAAAATGGGAGAAAATAATAAAGCGAACCCCAACTTCCCACACAATCATGTAAGTTAAACAATTATGAAGAGTTTGTCACAATTATTTTCTCTCTCACCACCCCAATCAAATTCTAGTCCTCATGGCCTTTCACCTCTACATTTTTCAGAATGCATCTCAAGTGATTTAGGTTTTTTTCCCCTTAAACATATGCTGTTATAACTCCCAGCAAAGTGAATAATAATTTTTCAATATCATTTAATGACCATGGTCAAATTTGCCTGGTTTTCTCAAATGTGCCATTTTGCAGTGGTTTGTGTAAATCAGAATCCTAATAAGGTCCACACATTTTATTTAGTTGTATCATTTCATTTAGAGCAGCCCCCTCTTTCACCTTTGCTAGGAGAGACAGGTTTTGGGGTGAGACTGGTTTCCTGTCCTGTGTCCCACATTCTGGATCTGTCTGATTGCTACCTTGTGGTGTCATATAACGTGTGTATCTGACACCTGCATTTCCTGTAAATGAGTGTTCATTTTGGAGGCTTTGTCAGATTCACATTCAATATTTTCTTGGCAAGAATGCGTCTACTAAGTGGGACTTTCTGTTTCTTACTGCATCATTATGCCCAGTTGTCTCACTTTAGGGATGCTAGCATTGACTGATCACTGAGTCAGTGGACAGCCTGATCACGGTTATAGAGTTCTCCCTAAACTTTGGATGCAGTGGTTTTATCAGTTGGTTATCATTGCCTGAATTCCTTGTTTCCTTGGGATACAATATATATTCTTTATAAAATTAATGTGTGCATTTTACCTGTTACAGAATTGTGCAGATAGTGCCCTTTTGTCATAATGTGATATTAATGTATTTAAATTGCTTTAGTTTCACCTTGTTTCTTGTGTTAGGGAGGTGCGGCTCCTTCGAAGACAAACAAAAACATCTTTGGAAGTTTCCCTGCTAGAAAAATATCCTTGCTCCAAGTTTATAATTGCTATAGGAAATAATGCAGTAGGTAAGTGAAAATGCAGAAGACTAGACATTTTGTTGAAATAATAAAATACAAAGTTACTTATTTCTTTCCATCATAAACAATTTCAAGTGTTTGTTACTTAGAAAAAAGTTACAGTAGAGTAACTGTTTCTGAGTGAAATGTATCTGTTGCTCATGCTGCACCATCTTTTTAATAAGCTTTAAAAAATTTAAGGAAAGTGTTCTTGGCTTAGAAACTTACATCTCAAGGAACTGTTTCTAGTGTGTTGAGGTATCAGATTTACTTTAATGTTTTAGAGTTAATAGACTCCTTTGAGAAAATAATTAGAGCTTTAAAAATAGTTATAATGATTCCCAACATTTTGGAGCCCTTTAATTCTGAGACTCCTTAATTTACTTGGTTGGTTAAAGCAGTGTAGAGTGCATTTGGAACAATGTACAAGTGCACACAGAGACCCTATATTTCTAGGGGGCGCATAGGCTCTGAGGGGAGCATTGGGGAATCCCAGTTAAGATCCCTTGTTTTGTAAAGTACCCCATGTTCTTTTAGAGCATAGTAAGTAGCTGTAAGAAACTATTGACCATTTATATAAAGTTGTATTGGCCCAACATTTTTCAGAAGAATGTTATACTGTGAGAATATAGAAAAAAGTCTGTCCACAAAAGTCTGGCACCAAACCTGTCTTCTCATTTCTTGGCTCTGATTTTGTCTTACCATGGTGTGGCCTTTCATTTCTTGGGGCCTGTTTCTTTTTCTGCAGAGTGGTAGTATTAGGTAGATGGTCTTGAATGACTTTTTCAACTGTTAAACTCTAGAGTAACTTGAGCTTACATTTTCCCCTCTATTTTTATTTTAGATTCAGGGGCTACACAGGCATGTTTGTTACATGGACAGCTTGTGTAGTGATGGGGATTGGGTCTCAGGTGGCCCATTCATTCCCTGGATAGTGAACATTGTACCCAGTAGGTAATTTCTGAACCCTCACCCAAGGTTCCTTTTTGTTGACTAGAAAGTACAACCTGCAGAGCCAATATTAACTTCTGTTCATTGTTTTTCACAGCATTCTTGTCATCATTTGTTATGAATTCAGGAGTCTGGGAAGAAGTTGGTTTTGCTAAACTCTGGAATGAATGGTGCAGAACAACAGACACTACACATCTTTCCCCTGCAGAGGCTTTTTGTATATTTTATCATCTGAAATCCAATCCCTCGGTAGGTGGGACTTACATGCTTGAAAGGTAGTTATTTAAGTATTGCTGATGTGGTCTTTACTGGTAATACACCTCAGCAGCTCATATGTCTCTCAGTTGCTCTGTCACTGTGCACTTTATTCTGATATTATAGCCACTAGTGGTTTGACTTTTAAATTTTAAAGAGAAATAATTAGGCCAATAGTAGAGTAAGGAAAATACATACTGTCTGTTATGTTGGGATTCATATGATATGTATATGGTGACAGTCTGGGGTGTGTATATAATTTATCTGACCTGACAAGAAATTTGGAATTTGACTTTTCAGGTTATCCTTTGTCAGTGCAGTTGCTATGTTGCTGAAGATCAACAGTATCAGTGGCTAGAAAAGGTAAGAGAAATGAAAACCTGTGAATGCTTAGGTTATGGGAGCTGTCATTTTTAAGGGTTTAGTATCTTTTTCGCTTAAAACTATATAGTCAAATATTGATGCAGGAAAGGAATTTGTTTTTGCCTTAAAAATTTAGGAACTTTTAATAGACTCTGAGGAATAAAAGAACTTATTTAACATGATCAGCCTAACAAGTATAATTAGCATTGTGCTAAGGATGGTAAGTTATGGAAGTATAACACATAGCTGAATTCTCATTTTATAATTTTGTTTGAAAGTAAAACAAGCTTTCCACGTGAAACAGAACAGTGTCACAGCTTAGGGTGAAAACCCACAGTATAATGATGCAGACAGCAAATGCACAGGGAGTGGCGGGCGTAAAACAGGTGTGCTGCTCACTCCAGACACCATAATATTACATCTGTTTTTCTTAGCATTAGACATGAAAGGGCTGAGTCTTCATTTTGTTGGAAAATTGTGTACATTGTAGGTGCTCAATAAAATAAGTTTTAGAATTTAAATAATTTTAGAATTTATTTCAACTAGGAATTTTATAGAAAAATCATAATTCTGGCAGTTGCATAATATTTTTAAATGAATTAGACTCTTGAGACCTTATATGCTCCTCAGCACCATCTCAGCTTAAATCTTAGATGTATTTTCTTTTTTTTTTTTTTTTTGAGTTGAAATCTCACTCTGTTGCCCAGACTGGAGTGCAGTGGCCGCTC